TAGTAACAAAAGTACACATTTTCAGCCAAAACGGAACAAATGATAATGCAGACCGACGTCGGAATAGATCCAGCGCGGCATGGGAATATTTCGAAATAAAGGACCCGCATAAAAAAATCGCCGCATGCACCGTTTGTGGGGCGAAGTGTTCTTATAGAGCATCTGTTAGTAATTTGACGAAACATGCGCGGAGGAAGCATGGATTGGGACCTTTTAGGAGTAGCAGCATGGATAAGTCCGATGGAGAACAGGAAGCTAGTGATGTGGAACAGAATAAGTGAGCTAATTTCATTAGTATTAAAAAAACAGATCTTGTCTGTCGACTTTGTATTTTTTATGCATCGTGTTCATTTCTCCACAACTCTGGGGCCCTACTCCTGAAGAAAGAAATCAGTAGTTACGGCCGTTTCCCCACTATGGTTGACCTGCTGAACTAACTATTCTTAAGATCCGTCAACGAAAAGACGGGCCCGTTCGTCTGTCAAATCGCGCTGTCATACAATATTACACATCGTTTCAACCCATTTAAAACAAAAAGTAAACAAATAAGTCTCTTACCCGACCATAGACTGTTTAAGATGGCCAAATTGTAAGGGCAAACTACAAATCGAATAATTTATGGAATGAATCGATTTGTTTAATTAAGTCATGCTAGCGGTTTTCATTACATAATCTACAAAATCGTATTTAAAATTTCCGAATACTTAATTTCAAATCCTTACACTTAGATACTCGTTCGATTGCGTTTGAAATTTTCGATTTACTAAATTACAAAAACTTTAATTGAATGAATCGAATGTTTGTTCCGTACAGCACTATTCATACATATATAATTAAAACATAAGCTCACTTTTTGACTACCATTTTTCAAATATTATTCAAATGAATATTGTTGGAAAAAGTGATGAAATATCAAGTCATCATCATTCGATTTATTGAGTGATTGCATTACAAATGCAACCAAACCGTTTTGTTGCCTTTACTAGACTAGCTCTAGCCCCGATCGAAACCTAACTTTGTATGTTGTTAAAGACGGCCTTAACTACAGATTTCGTGCTTCGAGAGTTGGTCCCAGGTTACTAATAACTAATTCAGAGTAAATTTCTCGATGTTTTCTTATTCATCACACTGCTGAGCATGGCTCTCCTCAGAGCAGACAGTTTAGGCTGTAGTCCGCCACGTCCTTTTTCTTGTATGAACCTTCTTTTTAAAACGAGGTGTTTCACGCGAGCCTATATTTTAGGAAGTGAGGTGGGCACCGCCTCTCGCGTCCCGCAGCCTACGCCCTTAAAAATCGCGCTTCCCCGAGCAAATAACCTTGAGCATTCAGCCCCTTTTTACCGCACTACACCTCTCCAATCTTTCGTAAAACTTTACCCTCGCCAACTAGATTATACTCCAACAATCTGCACACCAAACTCGACACACACGACAAGCACTGAACCACTTTGTAGTTTCATAGATCTAAACTCTCATGTATTGATAACGAAGAGTCATTTTAGTGATTACTTACATCTTAGAGCAGTACTGAAGTAGATTTGTAGTAGGTACATACCTCGCATCATCGTCAATTTGTTGTTTTCGACCCACACCATTTCACACAGATCCGACATCGACAAGCGTCCGATGGCGACTGACGGGGCTACGGGCGGCGCGGCGAGTCGTTAAACCGCTAGGCAATTTCTACTTTTGGGATAAATAATGTTAATTTAAACGGCTTTAGTCGAAAACCATTTAGCAAGTTGTCTGTAGGACTTAAAAGAGAAATATCTCCATATAAAATTATGTGCAAAGTTAGACATTTTGTTCATAAATAATTTAAAAAAATAAACAATAAAAAATTTCATATGATCGGATAAAGTACATCCTATCGTATAAGCACATTCTAATATCTATGGTTCATCTTTTTTGAAAATGGAGTACAATGGCAGTTCATTGCGAAAAAGTGTGGGCCGCTTACAAGCAGCTAGTGATTGCAGTCGATAAATATTCTATCGACTATCGATTGAATGTTGGTTACGCTTATGCAATAAAAAGCCGAACTGTTATCATTTGAATCGTCATCGATTTCGATTGTCCATGTAAGGTCATATATTATACATTTAGAATTATGTCTATTAAAAAATACAAAGAGGATACAAAATTTAAAAATTTTATTTTTCATTTTAATTCAACATAGATAATCGAGTCCGTCTGTTCTTAATAAAATTTATATGAGTAGAAATTGATTTCGATACTATTAGGCCAACTGTAAAAATAGGAATAAAGAAGGCAATAACGCAATCAGTAATCATTACAACGTCGTAACATTCACAATTTAGTCGTTATTGGCAAAATTTTACCTTTCACAATCTATCGATAAAACTGTCGACAACTACTACATGACTATTTAAAATTTCACGAAAACTGGCAATCCTGCAAATGTCATTTTACTCCGTTTTTTAAAAAGGCAGATCATAAACCATTTGATCAAGCATAATAGTTTTTCCCGCATCTCCTCGTGCCTCGCATTAAATAACTGACCAAAATCGTCCCGGGTTGGAAAAAGGAGGGGGAAGGCCTTTGTCCAGCAATGGAAACAGAGCAGGCTTATAATATCTACACATCGTTATAATAATTTGAACAGTTGATGTCGTAATTGTGAATTAATATCTCTTCTACCGTTCTCGTAGACGTCCAAAATGTAAACAAATGGGATAACCTTTTTTTAGCGCCTGATGGTAAGCTACACGCCTGTCCATAATTATTGCAGTGCCACTCAGAGCATTAAATCGCAAAGATCTAAGGGGCACTGCCACGACGCCCGACACCCTGAGACATAAGTTGACAAGTCCCATGTGCCTGTTATTTCACCAGCACCCTTACCCTTCAAAACCGGAACACAGTAATGCTAACATTACTGCTTGGCGGCAGAAATAGGTTAGGTGGCAGTACTTCCCAGGACGAACTCTTTCACAAGGCGCTCTACTGCTACTAACTGAGCAAAAATCTACATTTTAAATAGTAGTTTCCTATTTTTGACGATAATAAAATGTTTAAAATTATTTTCAAACTGTAACCTGTTAAAATTTATAATAATTCACGGTATGCCATTTGTATTTTAAGGTCGTAAATAGTTTTATGACACTGGTAACACAATCGAGAACGAAAACATTATTTGCGCCGCCATTTTGTCGTGTCATTCGTGCCGCCATTTTGTCGTGTCATT